GAAGTAACTAACCTGCTTTTGATTTTACAGGCTCATAGGTGGAAGGGACTTGCCTTGTCTCAGATGAGACTTTGGACTGAGGACTTTTGAGTTAATGCTGAAATAAGTTAAGACTTTGGGGGACTTTTGGGAAGGCATGATTGGTTTTGAAATGCGAGATCATGAGATTTGGGAGGGGCCGGGGGTGGAATGATATGCTTTGGCCATGTCCCCATCCAGATCTCATCCTGAATTCCCATGCATTGTGGGAGGGACCTGGTGGGAGGTCATTGAATGATGGGGGCAAGTCTTTTCTGTACTGTTCTCATGATAGTGAATAAGTCTCATGAGATCTGATGGTTTTAAAGAGAGGAGTTTCCCCGCACAAACTCTCTCTCTTTGCCTGCTGCCATCCATATAAGATGTGACTTGCTCCTCCTTGCCATCTGCCATGATTGTGAGGCTTCCCCAGCCACGTGGAACTGTAAGTCCAATTAAACTTCTTTCCTTTGTAAATTATCCAGTCTTGGGTATGTCTTTATCAGCAGTGTGAAAACAGACTAATGCACTTTGCCTCCGGGTTCAAGCAATTCTCATGCCTTCGCCTCCCAAGTAGCTGGGACTATAGGTGTGGACCACCACACCTGGCTAATTTTTGTATTTTTAGTAGAAACAGGGTTTCACCATGTTGGCCAAGCTGGTCTTGAACTTCTGACCTCAAGTGATCCACCCGCCTTGGCCTCCCAAAGTGCTGGGATTACAGGCATGAGCTGTCGCACCTGGCCTGCACTGTGAATTTATAATCCCAGTGATTAGATGTGGATATTAATGTTATTCATTTCCTTTTTACTTTATGTTTGTTTTTAATAATAATAATTCTGTAACATTTGAAGATATAAATGCCTTAAATACTTTTAAATCATGTTAAAAATTCTTCTGATTTCAAAAACAATGAAAAAATTGATAATGTATTTGGAAATTGTAGAATATGAGAGAATCCTAATTTATAAAATGAGGCAGTCTGATACAGGTCAGTTGTACAAGGACATTAGTACATTAGTACTGTTGATACCTTCATGTTTGGCAATTATAGTCAGGTATTTCTTTTATGAATTTAAAATTAGTAATTTATTTTATGACCAACTTTTCAGGAGCTGTTATTGTGAAAGTCTTTTTGCTACTATGAGTTTTATCCATTCAGAAATAGGAACCAATTGTAAACAATTACTTCTATTGCTGCAAACATGTTTTTTTGAGACAGAGTCTTACTCTGTTGCCCAGGCTGGAGTACAGTGGCACCATCTCGGCTCACTGCAACCTCCGCCTCCCGGCTTCAAGCAATTATCCTAAGCGTAGGTGGGATTACAAGCCTGTGCCACCACACCCAGCTAATTTTTGTATTTTTAGTAGAGACAGGGTTTCACCATGTTGGCCAGGCTGGTTTTGAACCCCTGACCTCAAGTGATCCACCCACCTTGGCCTCCCAAAGTGCTGGGATGACAGTAGTGAGCCACCGTGCCCCAAAAGAAAAAAAATTCAAATTTCATACCTTAAAAATTATCTCCTTCATGAGATCAACACCTGTGGAAAGAAAAGAAAAAAGAAAACATTATTTCCTTCAAACTAACTTGATAAAGTTTGGAAATACTAAAAATCCTCAATATTTAAAATAGTGTAGTACTAGCATGTGGATAGACAGATCAAAGCAATGTAAAATAAATTCTGAAATTGGCCCATTATAGTTAAGACTTTTGATTATTAGAAAGGTGGCATTGTCCTCATTAATCTCAATGAGGCTTAAACAGACCACCCTATTTAATAGCACAACCTTCCACCACATTCATCCCCAACATTCCTGGTCCCCCTTATCCTGTTCTTCTTTTCTTTCTACAGCACTTACCACCTCCTAACACACTATATAATTATTTATTGTATTTTTTTAATTGTTGGAATCCCCTCGCATAATGTAGCCTTTTTATTTTGTTCACTGCTCTATCCCAAGCACCTAGGAAAGTGCCTACCATATATAGTAGACACTTGATAAATATTTGTTAAATGAATGAATCTCAAATCAGTGGTGAAAGATGTAACATTCTCTACAATAAGTGACACTGGACAATTGATAGCCATCTGGGGAAATATAAATACATTGGTTCTAGACTTTACATCACACACCAGGAAGAAATCTAGATGGATTAAAGGCTTAAACAGAAAGATAACAACCGTAAAAGTAGTTCAGGAAACCATGGGGAAATGATTGTATACCTTTTGGAATGGGGAAACTTTGTCAAAATATCATATAAAAATCCAAAAGCCATAAATGAAAATATTGATAAATTTAACTACCGAAAGAAATTCCACAAGGCAAAAACACAGTAAACATATTCAAAGACAAGTAAAAAACTAGGAAAAAAATCACAACTCGGTCTTTCCAACATAAAAAGATTGCCTATAAGATAGATAAGAAAAAGACCAATAGCCTAATAGAAAAATGGACAAATGTTATGAATTAAAAATTCATGGAATAAAAACCAATGAAAGAAATGAAAAGATACCCAATTAAAATTACGTTGAGATACCATTTAAAAAACTTTCAGCCTGATAAGTTCAAAAGCTTGATGACATACTGAGATGGTGGATTTATGAGAAGCACAAACTCTCAACCATTGTTGGTGGAAATTTAAATTTGTATACTTGTTATGAAGTGCATCACAGTAGTACCCATCAGCATATACACTCTTTTTTGGAAAAAATTATTTATTTGTTTTGAGACAGGGTCTCACTCTGTTGCCGAGGTTGGAGTGGAGTGACATGATCTTGGCTCACTGCAACCTCTGCCTCCCAGGCTCAAGTGATCCTCCCACCTCAACCTCTTGAGAAGCTGGGACCAAAGGCGTGTGCCACCATGCCTGACTAATTTTTTGTATTTTTTGTAGAGATGGAGTTTCACTGTGTTGCCCAGGCTGGTCTCAAACTTCTGGACTCAATCATTATCTCGCCTCAGCCTCCCAAAGTGCTGGGACTACAGGTGTAAGCCATGACACCCAACTCATATACATCCTTTCATATAGCAATTCTACTTCCAAGAATTTTTTCTTGTTACCAGTCAGGATTAGCTAGGTTAAGTTGAGGTAATAATCTCAAAACATCAATGGCTTAAAATTACAAAGGGCTTTTAAAAATGTCTCACTAGTGCCATAGAAAGACTATCCTTAAAAAAGTATCAAAAAATATGTTAAAAAGAAAAGAGCAAGGTGAAAAAAAAAATAGTGCCATTAGTCGTTATGTCAGTGTAGATCTAAGCTGCCATCTGGTGGTGTTTTTCTTCCTCCTGAAGAACTCTTACTGTTTCTCGTAGTTCAGGTCTACTGGAAACAATTTTTCTCAGCTTTTGTTTGTCTGAAAAATTCTTTTTTTTTTTTTTTTTTTTTTTGAGATGGAGTCTCATTCTGTCGCCCAGGCTGGAGTGCTGTGGCACAAGTTCAGCTCACCACAACCTCTGCCTCCCGGGTTCAAGCGATTCTCCTGCCTCAGCCTCCTGAGTAGCTGGAATTACAGGCACATGCCACCACAGCCAGCTAATTTTTGTATTTTTAGTAGAGATGGGGTTTCACCATGTTGGTCGGGCTGGTCTCGAACCCCTGACCTTGTGATCCACCTACCTTGGCCTCCCAAAGTGCTAGGATTACAGGCGTGAGCCACCATACCTGGCTGAAAAATTCTTTAGTTCACCTCAAAAATTTTTTTTTTTTTTTAGAGATAGGAATCTCAATGTGGTGCCCAGGCCAGGTGGGACTTGAACTCTTGGACTCAAGCCATCCTTCCACCTCAACTTCCCAAATAGCTGGAACTATAGGGATTCACCATGGCACCCAGCTTACTTCATCTTTATTTATTTTAATTTTTTTTATTTTATTTTCATTTTTTGGAGATGGAGTCTCACTCTGTCACCCAGGCTGCAGTGCAGTGGCATGATCTCAGCTCACTGCAACCTCTGCCTCCTGAGTTCAAGCGATTCTCCTGCTTCAGGCTCCCAAGTGGCTGGGGCTACAGGCATGCACCACCGCACCTGGCTGATTTTTGTATTTTTTAGTAGAGACAGGTTTCACCATATTTCGCCTGTAATCCCAGCACTTTGGGAGGCCGAGGTAGGCAGATCACCTGAGGTCAGGAGTTCCAGACCAGCCTGACCAACATGGAGAAACCCTGTCTCTACTAAAAATATAAAATTAGCCGGGTGTGGTGGCACATGCCTGTAATCCCATCTACTCAGGAGGCTGAGGTAGGGAATCGCTTGAACTCGGGAGGCGGAGGTTGTGGTGAGCCGAGGTCACACTACTGCACTCCAGCCTGGGCAACAAGAGCGAAACTCCGTCTCAAAAAACAAAAAAGAAACAAAAAACAAAAAACAAAAAGCCAAGTTTTAATAATTGCTGTGTTTAACAACTGGCTTGTAACATGCCTGAAAATGCAACAACTAGCTCTCGTGACCTGTTGTGGTCTGGCTCCAGCATACAACTGTGCCACTGCCTTCTCCTTTGCCTGCTGTTTCCAAATAAGCTTCTTTGTTTAGTTAACAGGTGCCCATTTCTTTTTTTAAAAAATCTCCTTTTCTCCCATGAGATGGGGTAGGGAAGATGAACTCCCTTTCTCCTATCCTTAGACTTCCCTGGGGTGGGTGAACAAGTCACATGGAAGTTTGGTGAGAGGCTTCACTGGGAGGCAAGAGGATTAAAGCCTGTGTGTTCCCAAGAGCCTTCCTTGCATCTGGCCAACTAACTGCTTCCTTGGCATAACTTTGGGAGGGTCAATTACCCCGTTTGGGGTAAGGGTGAATGTTTACAAAATGGGATAGGCTGAATTACTGCTGGTTTGTAGTTGGTGGAAAGAGGGAGAAAAGAGCCCGGCACATCCTCGTCCTTCCTCTCCTCTTCTTTTTTTTCCCTTTTCTGTTGTCACCATCACATTCCTTGATGTCATTCCTGCCATTGTGAGCTGACAGGCCCTCCCAGCCCTGGTGGACAGACCATAAGTAAATGGGGAGGAAGAGCTGGGAAGGTGGGGGCAGATCACATCAACATCTCGGCGTTGGGCTGGGTCTGCGTGGAGCCTCAGAAATGTTCCCCAGCCCATTCTTCCCAAGAACCAATGAGTAAAATCAGGGGCCTCCCACCTGAGGTCAGGGAACCAGGCCCTGGAGTGGAACTTGGGGTGGAAAATGGCCTTCTTTGTCAACTGATTCATTCTCCAGAATTCAACTTGTTCTCCAACTCGGTGGTGTTTGAAAGCAACTTTATCCAGGTACCCTCATGCAGCTCAGGGCCAGCTGTCTTTCTGTTTCCAAAACCTGTTCCTAGGGGTTGGTTAGGAGATGCTGTGGCCTTTTAAAGCCCTGGAGGTGGGGGAGGAGGGACAAAGAAGCCACCAAAGCTAGAGAAAACCAGAAGGTCTGGGTCCCAAGTTCACCTCCATTTGTGCCTACCATATGATAGAGCTACCTGCAGGTCGTCTGCTTTAAGGAAATTGATTTATGCCTTACAAAAGGAGAGATCAGAGCTCAGTCTCCAGGCAGGGTTCATAGGCCCTTTCTGGGCCACTTGTCCAAACTGGGTAGTTACAGGGAATGAAGGTTGCTGCTAGAAACCCTGCTCTGAAATCCAACCTCCTCACTCTGGGATGGTTTAGAAACAGCCTTGTTTGAATGCGAAGACACTGGGTAAAAAGGTCTTGCCCAGATCCTACCATTCCCTAAAAGGATGGTGGTGACCAATGGAAGTGAGCCTGGGATGGGACCACTGGGAGTGGAAGGTGATGGTTTTCATAAGTATCAAGTCTTAGGCGGGTGCTGCCTGCCTCCCTCCAGCGGTCTAGCCTGAACCCGTGCTCCTGCGTGGGAGAGCATAACCAGTTGGTCAGCCAGTAAGCACACACTAAACATCACTGAGTGCAGGGCAGGAGGTGCAGAGAAAGATCAGTGTCCCTGGCCAGGAAGTCTATGAGTTTGGTTTACCCGTTATTTGGTAACTGTCTAAGCAAGCTCTATGTCAGAGAGTTTGGTCCAGCTGATGCCCCAGGCATGTGCTGGGGGCATTCAGGGCATTCTCTCTGGACTTTGGCAGTTGAAGAAGGCTTTCCAGAAGGGTCTTAAGCCATTCTTTGAGAGACTGCTGAGATTCTGGTAAGTGGAAGAACAGCGGGGAGGATATCTCAGACAGAGGGGCTTCAAAGTACCTAAGGAAAGGCAGGGAGGCTGGAATGCAAGGTCTGCAAGACACAGACCCATTCAAATGGAGTGGGAAAGCAGCCAGGGGTTATAGGAGAGAAGGCGGAAACAGTTTGAGGTGGGTCTTGGGCTTAATTTGGAGACTCTTCACAGAGCAGTGAGCTACTCCCTAATGGAGTCCCCAGATTCTGGAGAGCTGTGTTCATGGCTCCTGCCGCTCCACGGTCCCTTTGCTGCCCCCCGGGAGATGTGTAGTTGGGTGATCAACTGGCAAACCTGGGGCGAGCTCATTCCTAACATACCCTTGGTGAAGACAGAGCAGTAACATGGGAAGTCCAGTCTCAGGGTCCAATTTCTAGTCATTTCTATTTGGGTGTAATGATTCATGATTCGGCTGCAAATTTGTTCTCTTAATTTTTTTTTTTTTTTTTTTTTTTTTTGAGATGGAGTCTCACTCCATTGCCCTGGTGCGATCTAGGCTCACTGCAACCTCTGCCTCCCGGGTTCAAGCAATTCTCCTATCTCAGCCTCCCGAGTAGCTAGGACTACAGGCGTACACCACCTTGCCCAGCTAATTTTTTTGTGTTTTAGTAGAGACAGGGTTTCACCATGTTGGCCAAGATGGTCTCAATCTCTTGACCTCATGATCCGCCCGACGTGGCCTCCCAAAGTGCTATTTTTTTGGCCTAATATTAAAACTGTTTAGATTCTCTGAATGGACACTAAGTGACCCAGGTAGCAACAAACTCAGAATGTGCTAGGGAGAGACTGACCCCCAGAGAAAAGTTCAAAGTTTGATTTAAAAAAATTTTTTTTTGATAGAGACAGGGTCTCACCATGTAGCCCAGGCTCGTCTTGAACTCCTGGCTTCAAGTGATACTCCCGCTTTGGACTTCCAAAGTGCTGGGATTATAGGCGTGAATGACCGCACACAGTCCAAAGTTTACTTGAAGTGATGCAATCCACGTATTAGTTATAGTTTTAGTTGTTGTAGTGGAGTTACACTGCTTCCTCTCTCCCCTTTCCTGCACATCGCCATCACTATCCTCTCAAAGCAGCATCACCCACAAATATTTATTGAGCACTTACTCTCAATACGTACAACCCTCTGTGTTTTGCAGAGGACATGAATTGTATTCCTCAACATGGGCTCCAGGAAGTGTCACTTTTTTTTTTCAAAATCAAAATTCACTTTTCTGGGAACACCATCTGGTCAGGCTGGTGGGAAATTACATTTCAGTCATTCCTGGGGCTTTCCCTTGTCCCCAGTTCCACCAAGGACTGGGCAGTGGTGTTGATGGTTTTACAAAGTCTAGAACATTGACTGGACTTAGTGGCTCATGCCTGTAATCTCAGCACTTTGGGAGGCTGAGAGGGGAAGATCACTTGAGCCCAGGAGTTTGACACCAGTCTGGGCAACATAGTGAGACCCCATCTCTATTTTCTAAAAAAGGTGTAGAGCATTGGGAGAAGGCCCTCTGGCCTTGGGAACACAGGGGTCCCTCCTCATATGTTCCTTACCTGGGTCCCCGTGGCTCCTTAGTGGCCCCAGTTCTTGTGCTTTTCTGCCAGCCGTGCATAGTGAAGTGGGGGTGTCTTAGCTGAGACATTGTGCCCAGTGGTGGGCATCCAGTATCTCTGTCCTGTGATGGCCCCCTTCTGCTTCAAGAGAATAGATCCTCATTCCATTCAAGACCCAGCAACAAGATAGCCCCTCCATCATCCTGGGAGAAGTGCTCCAAACCTCCCTCAACTCAAGCTGTCTGGGTCTTCCCTATTCAACAGCTTTTTCCTCACTTTCCTCCCCTTCTGGGACTTTCTTCACACAATCTCCCTTTTGGGCCATTAGAAACCATTGCTGGCTTCTCCTACCCAAAGATGGGGGAATGAAAACTTCAATGCCACTCAGCTTTTTCTTGCTAGTGCATCTTTTTACAGTTAGATAAAACAGAGGGGCCGGGCGCGGTGGCTCAAGCCTGTAATCCCAGCACTTTGGGAGGCCGAGACGGGCGGATCACGAGGTCAGGAGATCGAGAGATGATCCCGGCTAACACGGTGAAACCCCGTCTCTACTAAAAAATACAAAAAAATAGCCGGGCGAGGTGGCGGGCGCCTGTAGTCCCAGCTACTCGGGAGGCTGAGGCAGGAGAATGGCGTAAACCTGGGAGGCGGAGCTTGCAGTGAGCTGAGATCCGGCCACTGCACTCCAGCCTGGGTGACAGAGCAAGACTCCGTCTCAAAAAAAAAAAACAAAAAAAAACAAACAAAAAAAAAAACAGAGGACCCAGAGAAGGATAATGTAGGGTTCCTGCAGCCAAGGACCTTAAAGTATATTTGGGGAGACCAACAAAAATGGTCAATAGCAGGTCAGGGCCCAGCTCAGTGTGCTGCACACCTGCCCCTAAGATGAAGTGCTGCTTTCCAGCATCTGTATCCTTCCACCCCTTGTTTTCTGCTCCTTTCTGACCCACGCACCTGAGGCTGATTTCCAGGTCACTAAGCCCGGGAACTGGAGAGATGTCTGTGAAGGGTCTGCCACCGTGATCCTTGGGGTGACCTCCTCGGTGCCCTCCCTGCCGCTCCCCAATGTCCTCCTGATGGCCAATGTTACCTGGCCCCGGGGTCCGTTTTCCACCTGGAGCACACCTGGTGATGCCCCAGTCATCACCCTCAGCAGGTAAAGGCTTGAGGGAGGGCCGGAAGGGATGGAATGATTGACTGGGATATGCATTGCTTTGTAGCTGGATTTTAGATCAAAAGAAAAGACAGTGTTCTTTAGTGCATAAACCCTGTAGAACTCATTCATTCATTTGTTTAGCAAGTATTTAATATCTTTTTTTTTTTTTTTTGAGATAGAGTCTCGCTGTGTTGCCCAGGCTGGAGTGCAGTGGCGTGATCTCGGCTCACTGCAAGCTCCACCTCCTGGGTTCACACCATTCTCCTGCCTCAGCCTCCCGAGTAGCTGGGACTATAGGTGCCCGCCACCACACCTGGCTAATTTTTTGTGTTTTTTAGTAGAGACAGGGTTTCACTGTGTTAGCTAGGATGGTCTCAATCTCCTGACCTCGTGATCTGCTTGCCTTGGCCTCCCAAAGTGCTGGGATTACAGGTGTGAGCCACCACGCCCAGCTGTATTTGTTTAGCATCTATATTTACCAAGCACTATTCTTCGTGCTGGGATAGGGCAGTACACAGTCCTTGTCTCGAACCTGGTTTTTGAGAATCTTAGCTTCCTTTTCTGTAAATGTGTGTGTGTATACATGTGTGTACATGCAGACACATTTCCATGTCTTTTAAAATCTTTTTGTAAATATAATTTCAATAATTTCTATTTAGTAATATGAATGAGTTAAAATTTACTTGACAAGTCCCTAATATTAGACATTTAGAAATGTTTCTTTTTGTCAATATAGATAGAGGGGGTTTCCAAGGAAAAAGTGGGGATGCGAAAGTCAAACACGACTATGAAATCCTGAGATTGAAAAAAAAAAATACTAGATATTCAGGAGACATCTATCCTTTTCCTTGCCCTTTCAACACAGTAAGTCAGGATATAGGGAGAAAGAGTCCTAGAAACTGAGTCAGGATATCTTAGTTCCACGTCACACTTAATAAGATCTAAACTTGGGCAAATCACTTAGCCTCTCTAAGCGTCAGCCTCAAAATCTGTAAAGTGGAATTAATCATACTTATCTTGGCAGGGCATAGTGGCTCACATCTGTAATCCTAGCTCTTTGGGAGTCTGAGGTGGGAGGATCGCTTGAAGCCAGGAGTTCAAGACCAGTCTGGGCAACATAGGGAGATCCTGTTTCTACCAAAAAAATACCAAAATAATTAGGTGGGTGTACTGGCACACACCTGTATTCCTACTAAAGTCCTGGAAATTGGAGAGGAGTCAGTCTTAGTAATCACCTCCACGTTCATTACATGAGCTTTCTCCCTTCAGCATCCCCCAGGCAGAGAGGTAGGAGGCCAATGACGCTGAGCCACCTCTAAGTGGGCACCCACATGGTTGATTGAAACCACAGGCTCTCTCATGGGAATGTCCTGATTATGCCCAGGCTTCTCCCCCTGAAGTACGTGGAGCTGCGAATCTACGACCGGCTCCAGCGCATCCTGAGGGTTAGGACAGTGACCGAAAAGATCTACTATCTGAAGCTCCACGAAAAACACCCAGAGATTGTGTTTCAATTCTGGGTCCGCTTGGTGAAAATTCTGCAGAAAGGCCTGTCCATCACCACCAAAGACCCGAGAATCGAATTCACTCACTGCCTGGTGCCCAAGATGCCCACCAGCTCCATAGAAACAACAGTAAGTGGACCTCCCTCCAGGACCTGTTGAGAGATAAGTATATATATGTATATATGTAAGTGTGTGTGTATATATGTAGACGTTTCCATGTCTTTTAAAAGCTCTTTGTAAGTATCATTTTGATAATTTCTATTCAGTAGTATGAATGAATTAAAATTTATTTGACCTGTCCCTAATATTGAGACATTTAGAAATGTTTCTGTTTTTTTGAGACAGAGCCATGCCCTGTCACCCGGCTGGAGTGCAATTGCGCCATCTCGGCTCACTGCAACTTCCACCTCCCGAGTTCAAGCGATTCTCATGCCTCAGCCTCCAGAGTAGCTGGGATTACAGGTGTATGCCACTACGCCTGGCTCATTTTTGTATTTTTAGTAGAGATGGGGTTTCACCATGTTGGCCAAGCTGGTCCTGAACTCCTGTCCTCAAGTGATCCACCTGCCTTGGCCTCCCAAAGTGCTGGGATTACAGGTGTGAACCTCTGTGCCTGGCCTGTATTTATTATTGTAAATAATGCTAAAACAAGCATTTATATGTATGATCTACATTTCTGATTATGTTCTCAGATAGGTTTTTAGAAGTAGAATTCAAAGAGCATGAACGTTTTCAAGGCTCTTAACACACATTGCTAGATTATTTCCATAAATATCATACCAAATTATACTCTCACCAATAATATGAGTGTCTGTGGGCTGGGTGTGGTGGCTCACGCCTGTAATCCTAACACTTTGGGAGGCCAAGACAGGTGGATCACCTGAGGTCAGGACTTCAAGATCAGCCTGCCCAACATGGCGAAACCCTGTCTTTACTAAAAATACAAAACTTAGCCCGGCATAGTGGCAGGCCCCTATAATGCTACTTGGGAAGCTGAGGCAGGAGTCACTTAAACCCGGGAAGTGAAGGTTGCAGTGAGCGGAAATCGTGCCACGTTACTCCAGCCTGGGTGAAAGAGTGAAACTCCATCTCAAAAAAAAAAAAAAAAAAAATAGTATTTTACTGCATATCCTATTACAATTGAGCAGTAAACGTTTTAATAAATTTCCTAGTATAATAGGTAAAAAAGTGGCATTCTCTGATTTTCAATGAGTTTCAGCATTGTTACATTGTTATGTATTTATAGTCATATATATAATACAATATTATTTTAATATATTTTATATATATATTAATGCCATATATATGGCACTGTCTATTGTGTTCTTTGGCCATTTTTCTATTGGCAATCTTGTGTTTGTCTAAATTGATTTGTAAAAGAAAACTTTTTTTTTTTTTTGAGATGGAATCTCACTCTGTTGCCAGGCTAGAGTGCAGTGGTGCAATCTTGGCTCACTGCAACCTCTGCCTCCCGGGTTCAAGTGATTCTCCTGCCTCAGCCTTCCGAGTAGCTGGGACTACAGGCGTGCACCACCACACCCAGCTAACTTTTGTATTTTTAGTAGAGATGGTGTTTCATCATGTTGGCCAGTATGGTCTCGATCTCTTGACCTCGTGATCCAACCGCCTCGGCCTCCCAAAGTGCTGGGATTACAGGCGTGAGCCACTGTGCCCGGCCTATAGTAAAACTTTTTATACATCAGGATTTTTGACCCTTACAAATTTTTACAAATATTTCCTCAAATATTTGCCCTTCCTCTTTGGTTTATTTAGGGTACGTCTTTGATACACATAAGACCTTTCCAGGTCCTGCTTGGTATAGAAGCACAGGAAGGAAGGTCAATAGATTGGACTGTCCAAAACCTTCAGATTTCAGAATCTGAATGCTTTCCTCCTCCCACTTAAGTTCTGTGCTTCAGGTATGTTATTGACTTTGAAGGTCAGCAGTTTTATAGCCTGACAGCTTTGCTTCTGAACATTCAGATCTGTACTCTGGACAGAGTAGCCACCATAGTTGACCAGGGAGTGGGTGTGACCCTGCCAGGGGTCCCATTTTTTGTTGGATGATTCTCGGGGCTTAATGCTGAAGGAACAGGTTCCCAGGGCTAGGGTGTGAAACTCAACTGTAATATCACAAACCCCTTCAAAGTTCTACCCCAAGGAGGCCAAGAACTCTCTGAGCAGACCTATCCATCTGACGCTAAATTTCTCCATCCAGCCTGAAAACAGCCTCCTGTCATCCCCCCAGCCTAGCGAGTCCCTCGTGCTGCTGGCGGCTGAGCAGACCAGTGGCAGTTTCTCACAGCTCTCAGGAAAGCTCCAGCTCACAGCAGACAGGTGGGTCCTCTGTGGGGTCAGCTCCAGATCCCTTCCTCCAGCGTGAAGTCATGGGATCAATGACACCCTCTACCAATCTATCTCAGTTCCTTCTTTGTATTTTAGATAGTCATGCACATGGCTTTTTCTGTCAATTTTATTGTAAGCCTGCCTTTGAAAATAAGGTCTTTGGCTCTTTGATCTGAATATTCACTCCTTAGGCAAAATCCAGTGTTTTCTAACGACAGGTGTTCAATAAAAGGAATGAGGGATGAGAAAATCAATTCAAAGAAGTGAAGCTAACAAAGCAGGCTCATGGTGGAGTTAGCTATTGACTATTTCCAATCCAAGCTCACAAGGATCCCTGGGGTAAAACCCTAGTTCTCTTTGCCTCATCTGCCTCTTCTTTTATTGTTTTCTTTTTGCTTCTTTTCTTTTTTTTTTTTTTTGGAAGACAGAGTTTCACTCTTGCTGCCCAGGCTGGAGTGCAATGGTGTGATGTCGGCTCACTGCAACCTCCACCTTCTGGGTTCAAGCGATTCTCTCGACTCAGCCTCCCAAGTAGCTGGGATTACAGGCACCTGCCACCACACTCAGCTAATTTTTTGTATTTTTAGTAGAGACAGGGTTTCACCATGTTGGCCAGGCTGGTCTCGAACTCCTGACCTCAGGTGATCCACCCACCTTGGCCTCCCAAAGTGCTGGAATTACAGGCGTGAGTCACTGTGCCTGGCCCTCACCAGCCTCTTCTGCAAAACGGACAGAATAAGGGAAACTACTGGTAGCTCCAAAGTCTCATTAATTTACTAATAATTGTATTAGATTCTTTCTGTAAAAAGCGATAGAAACTCAAAGTAAGATAGTGCAACCAATATGCTGCACAAATGCAACTTGTAGGGTATCATCAGAATGCAAATTTATTTTGTTTGCCCTTCATAACTTTTTCAGTGGCAGAAGTTTTCCTCTTGCCCCTGGATAAAAGCTGGATTTCTGGGCAGGCTACATAGCATATGGGCTCTCTCTGAGAATATAAAAGCTCCTTTGGTCCATTTAAATTGCAAAAGCAGCCTCAATTCTGAAATTAAAATATCTAATGTCTGAAAATTAATAAAACCCTGAACTTATCACATCTTCTCCTTACCCTCAGTCTGGCTCCCTATCAAGGTGACCTTTCCTAGCGGGGAACTGGGTTGTCACTCTTCTTCTCTTTCTGTTTCCTAATATTTAAAGCTAACTTTTTTCTCTTAGGAGCTTTCTTTCTTTTTTCTTTTTCCTCCTTTCTTTCTTTTCTTTCTCTTTCCTTTCCCCCTCCCCTCCCCTCCCCTCTCCTCTCCCCTCCTTTGCATTCCAACAGTGTCTCACTCTGTTGCCCAAGCTGGAGTACAGTGCCATGATCTTGGCTCACTACAGCCTCAATCTCCTAGGGTCAAGCAGTCCTCCCACCTCAGCCTCCCAAGTAACTGGGACTACAGGCATGCACCACCATGCCTGGTTAATTTTTTAAATTTTTAGTAGAGACAAGGTCTTGCTATGTTGCCCAGGCTGGTCTGAAACTCCTGAACCGAAGTGATCCTCCCACCTTGGCCTCCTAAAGTGCTGGGATTATAGTCATGAGCCATTACAACTGGCAAGGAGCTTTCCTGGGTTCTTTGAAATCTCCTTTCTGGCCCCTCAACTGCAACACCTCCCTTTCATCTGGCCACACTGTGCCCCCCCCCACCCCCACCCTCCCAGCCATGGCTCTGCAGGGGCCATGCCCCCCCAGGCACTAGCTATCCCCTCACCCCTTTAAGGAGTCCTCTTGGGTAGGGCTTACAGTGGCTCCAGGCTGGTGTGCACGTGCTCGCGCTCTCTCTCTCTCTCTCTCTCTCTCTCTGTCTCTCACAGCCCACATCTGACCTTCAGGAAACATCCTCTCATATTTTGACCAGCCACTGGAGAGGAGGACCTTGCTTCCTAGGCACAGAAGCAACTCTTCTCCCAGAGCCCAGGAGCCACAGCTCAAGCTCCCTGGGTTGACCCAGGAAGGCTCTCCCTTTCAGCTTGAGGAGAAGGAGGCAGCAGTTCTTTACAAAGGACTCTCTCCCCATGTGACAACCCAAGCCCTTGGTTACCAAGACTGGTAATCCCTCAGGCCCCCCAGCTCACTCTCACTTCTCTGATCTTAAATTTTTGGTCCCTGGGATTTTGTCTTTGAGCCATAATACGTTATATTCTCAACACATCAAAGTAGTACTTAAGGTCTGAAAAGTTGTTTGTTCCTCCAGCAGAGCAGGCCTTAGCTCCAGGCTCCCTCCTCCTCCTCCCGTGTGGCTTTCTCTCCTTGGGTTGCCTTTAACATTATTCCATATATGCATATTGTGCCCCGCATTTCCATACATGTGCTTAAAGCACTGGCGCTGGAAAAAGCCATAACTAGAAAGAGAGTTTTTTTGTTTTGTTTTGTTTGAGAAGGAGTCTCACTCTGTCACGCAGACTGGAATGCAGTGGTGCCATCTCGGCTCACTGCAAGCTCCACCTCCTGGGTTCAAGCGATTCCCATGCCTCAGCCTCCTGAGTAGCTGGGATTACAGGCATGTGCCACCATGCCCAGCTAATTTTTGTATTTTTAGTACAGACGGGGTTTCACCATATTGGCCAGGCTGGTCTTGAACTCCTGACCTCAAGTGATCCGCCCACCTCGGCCTCCAAAAGTGCTAGGATTACAGGCGTGAGCCACTGCACCCACCCAAAAGTGGTTTTTAAGTTAAATTTTAACAATGTTTTCGTTTTCTTCTATTGCTTTCAATAACCCCAAAATTCCCTGGGCTCCAACAGGAACAATGACACTGCCATTGAAATAGACAACCGCAGCAGCTATAAGATACCCTCACCAGTGGCATCTCCAATCAATTTGAATATACCCATGAGAGCTGTCTTGAGCCACAGCCTCTGGGAACAAGAGGATCCGGATGAGCACCTTCTACAAGTTCCTGTAGCCAGTTCCCTAGGAGAGCACTTCTTGGGACCCTGACACCTAGGCAAAACATGCTCTTCCTGGCATGCGTGTACTTGTACTTGCTACCACCTCTTATAATGCTCCTTTCCCACTGTGAGCCGAGTGACCATGGGAGAGGTAAGATGGTGTTTCCAACAAGGTGCTTCTGTGCTTCCACCAATAAACTTCCAAGTGAGTCCCTAATTGTTACAGGTTGTGCTATAGGGAGGCTCCAGTTTGGGAAAGGACTGACTGAGAACAGGAGCAGTTTTTGGAAAAATAGGTGGGAAAAGTTACTATCTGTGTATTATTCCATTCTTGTATTGTTATAAAGAACTACTTAAGACTGGGTAATTTTATTTATTTATTTATTTATTTATTTATTTATTTATTTTGGAGATAGAGTCTTACTCTGTCACCAGGCTGGAATACAGTGGCGTGATCATGGCTCACTGCAACCTCCACCTCCTGGGTTCAAGCAATTCTTGTGCGTCAACCTCCCAAGTAGCTGGGACTACAGGCACCCAATATACCTGGCTAATTTTTTGTGTTTTAGTAGAGATGGGGTTTCACCATGTTGCCCAGGCTGGTCTCCAACTCCTGAGCTCAGGCCATCCACTCACCTTGGCCTCTCAAAGGGCTAGGATTACAGGCGTGAGCCACCAGGCCCAGCCTCAAGACTGGGTAATTTATAAAGAAAAGAGGCTAATTGGCTCATGGTTCCCTAGGCTGTACAGGAAGCATGGCTGGGGAGGCCTCAGGAAACTTACAATGAAGGCAGAAGACAAAAGAGAAGCAGACCTGTCCTACATGGCTGGAGCAGGAGAAAGAAACAAGGAGGAGGTGCTACACACTTCTAAACAACCAGATCTCATGAGAACTCATTATCATGAGAATAGCAAGGAGGAAATCCACCCCCATGATCCAATCATCTCCCACCGGCCACCTCCTCCAACACTGGGGATTAAATTCCACATGAAATTTGGGCAGGGAGACAGATCCAAATCATATAGTAGTCTGCTCAATTGAAACCACACAATAGCCAAGTAAAGCCAAGAAAGCCAGTCCAAGACTGGCTTGGAAAGGGCCTCTGAGGAGAGGAAAGGGCCACTGAGGAGAAATCAATTTTCAAAGGGGCAGGGGGAAATAGAGGCCCGAGCTACTACAAGCCCAAAATAAAATAAATCCTGAGAAGGATGGCAACCAGCTGGAAGATTCTTTTGTGTTGCTCCATTATCTCAAGCAAGAAATTGAGTCTTTGGCTGGGCACAGTGGCTCATGCCTGTAATCCTAGCACTTTGGAAGGCTGAGGTGGGTGGATCACTTGAGGTCAGGAGTTCGAGACCAGCCTGACCAACATGGCAAAACCCTGTCTCTACCCAAAATACAAAAATTAACTTGACGTGGTGGTACACGCCTGTAGTCCCAGCTACTCAGGAGGCTGAGGCAGGAGAATTACTTGAACCAGGAGGCAGAGCTTGCAGTGAGCCAGGATCATGCCACTGTGCTCCAGCCTGGGTGACAGAGCCAGACTCCATCTCAAAAAAATAAAATAAAATAAATTAGGTCTTCCTCGCCCCACTCCCTGTGTTAGTATAAAGCTATGAAGGCTCCCCCTGACCCATACAACATTTTGTTGCTAATGAAAACATGGTAAGGAAGATATTGACTGTCCATCACCAGAAATCCTGATTGATTTGACTATTCCTACCCAGAACCTAATGAAAGTGAACTGGAAGACATGGCATCTTTGAGTATTGGGAATGGGGCAGGAGCTTTGGCCAACCTTTGTACACGTAGGGAGTATCTACAAGGAAAATACCACCACTCCTTTTTTTTTTTTTGAGATAGAGTCTTGTTCTGTTGCCCAGGCTGGAGTGCAGTGGTGTGATCTTGGCTCACTGCAACCTCCGCCTCTCAGGTTCGAGTGATTCTTGTGCCTCAGCCTCCCAAGTAGCTGGGGTTACAGATATGCACCACCAGCCGGGCTAATTTTTGTATTTTTAGTAGAGACAGGGTTTCTCCACGTTGGCCAGGCTGGTCTCGAACTCCTGACCTCAGGTTATCCACCCTCCTCGGCCTCCCAAAGTGCTGGGATTACAGGCATGAGCCACCACGCCCAGCCCCACCATGCCCATTCCAATATTTAATAAGTATTCGTCAAGCTCCTGCGAGGGGCTAGACACTGCGTTTGATGCTAAGTATACTGGAGAGAACAAGACAGATGGACAAGTTACCTGCCTTTAGGGAGGGTCTGGGAGAGATGCCAAGCCCTATTTTGGAGACATAGGGAAGCCATTAATGTTGACCTGATGTCTGAGCCACCCAGCCTGCAAATGAAGGCTGGAGGCCCTGCTTTCCAGCATATGTGGTTCACATCCTGTGTGGTGCAGAGAGAAAGAACATGGTTGCCCTCTCTCTTGTGCGTGCTCGGTTGTGCTAAGTAGTCAAATCTGGCTGAATTGAGTCAGAAAAGACATCTGAGCTAAGAGGATGCCTGATGCTTGTTGGTTTTGTCTTGCCTCCAGTAAAATTAAAAACAAGTTTCCTTTCAGCATGTTACAATCGAATAAGCTGAGCATTGTTGGTGCTGGTGTGGGACATCTAGAAGCTGAACTTAGAAGAGACTACTGTGCGGCATGATTGTACTTCCCAGTGCATGCCTGTTGTCCTGGTATCATTATTAATACATACCCATTTCACCCTGAGAAGTGTCCCTCAGTGAATCACAAATCATGTGGCCACCCTATCTATATGGCATGCTTACAAATGTTTAAAAGGCTTGTCATCCCCACTTCTTTGTCTTGGTTTAAGCCTTCATTAGCCCTCACCTAGACTATTATGTTAATAGCAACCCCAGACTAGGCACGGTAGCTCACACCTGTAATCCCAGCACTTTGGGAGGCCGAGGTGGGTGGATCACAAGGTCAGGAGTTCAAGACCAGCCTGTCCAATATGGTGAAACCCCATCTCTACTAAAAATACAAAAATTAGCTGGGTGTGGTGGCACACACCTGTAGTCCCAGCTACTCGGGAGGCTGAGGCAGAAGAATCACTTGAACCCGGGAGGCGGAGGTTACAGTGAGCAGAGATGGTGCCACCGCACTCCAGCCTGGGCGACAAAGCCAGACTCCATCTCAAAAAACAATAAAATAAAATAAAATAGTAACCCCAATTGGTCTCCCAGACTTTATCATAATAGTAGCTAACATCTTTAGAAATTTGCTATCTTCCAAGCACTATACTGACTTTACAAAGATCACTAAACCACAGCACAAGCCATTGAGAAGCAGATCTTATTATTACATTTTATAAATGATAAACCGGAGCCACAGAGAGGTTCAAGAACTTGCTTAAGGTCACACAGGTAGGAAGTAGCAGAGCCAGGACTTGAAGCCAGTCTGTCTAACTTCAAAGTCCAAATTACTCTTGATGGCTCTCCAATGTCTTCCCAACTCATTCCCTTTTCATACCTCTAACAGAGCAACCTTTTTGACACATAAATCTGACAGGAAGGACCAGGCATGGTGGCTCATACCTGTAATCCCAGCACTTTGGAAGGCTGAGGTGGGCAGATCACTTGAAGTCAGAAGTTTGAGACCAGCCTGGCCAACGTGGTGAAACCGTCTCCACTAAATATGTCAAAATTAGCTGGGCATGGTGGTGCGTGTCTGTAGTCCCAGCTACTCAGAGGCTGAGGCAGGAGAATCTCTTGAACTGGGGAGGCAGAGGTTGAAGTGAGCCGAGATCACTCCGCTGCGCTCTAGCCTGGACAACAGAGTGAGACTCTGTCTCAAAAAAAAAAAAAATCTGACCGAGCTTGCCCTTAATAAAACCAAACCCTCTGACATGAAATGTCCAGGCTCCTGCCTCTCTCTCCAGCCTCTCCACTGGCCACTGCTGCTGTAGAATCTTATGCTCCCACCATGCCAAATTTCTTGTGGTTCCCTAAATGCACCATGTTTTAAGATACTTCGAGGACATTGTATACACTTTTGTTCTACCTGAGATACCTTTGCTTACTTTCTCCACCTGTTGCCCTCTTGACACTTATCTTTATTGATGGATTTCTTCAATGCTACTATTGTGCCTTACATGTGCCTTGTATTATAGCATTTTTATAGCATTTCTCACCCAATTGTGGCTATTTGTTTACATGTCTGTCTCCCTGGTGGAGCTATGAACTCTTTGATAACAGATGCCATTTTATGTCAGACTTCTTTGGTTGCCAGTAAGAGAAGCTGACTCTAATCTAAACCAAAAGGGATTCATTGGATGGTTGTAGGTTGGCTCACAGAATCAAGAGGACAACTGCGGAGCCGGTCTTGGAACGCTCTGACACCAGAACAGCTCTGCGAATTCAGATAAGGGTAGTGAATTGACCATTTCATCAAATGCTGCAGCAGGCTGGGTGGTTTCCCTAAAGGAAATTGAGGTGTGTTACAAGAAGACCAATAGGGGAACAGGTATCTGGTGACTGATAATAACAAATTTCCACGGCAGTCTCTGTTCTCTGTTGGAAGAGGTACTCCACCATGGTCCTTGAGCATCTCTACACATTCTTGCTAAGCGTGTCAAATTTCAAGTCCTAACTGTCCTCTGTCTCTGGGGGAGGGGACAGGTTTGGTTACTGTTTGTTGTAAAAATTACTGAGCCTTTCGCCATGGATGCCTCAGCTGTATGCAAAACCCCTTGTGTTGCTGGGGAATAGGGCAACTGGTTCAGCCATGCTGGTGCTTCTGCTGTTTGCTGTTGGCAATAAACTATACTGTTTTTGTTCATTGAATCTCTGCCTACTTTGCGCACCTAAGTGACCATGGTAAGTCAACCTGCATGCTTGCTTAGTCATTTTTTTAGAATATTGTTACTCCTTGACATCCTCTATGAAACCTAGATTCTTCTCTGACACTGTCCAAACCCACGTACAATCTCTTTTTTTTTTCTTTTTTCTTTTTTTTTGGAGATTAAGTCTTGCTCTGTCACCCAGGCTGGAGTGCAGCAGTGCAATCTCGGTTCACTGCAACCTCCGCCTCCCAGGTTCAAGCAATTCTCCCGCCTCAGCCTCCTGAGTAGCTGGGTTTACAGGCACGTGCCACCACATCCAGCTAATTTTTGTATTTTTAGTAGAGATAGGGTTTCACTGTGTTGGCCAGGATGGTCTCAATCTCCCTACCTCATGATCTGCCCACCTTGGCCTCCCAAAGTGCTGGGATTACAGGCATGAGCCACCACACCCGCCCCCCTTGGTTTCTTTCTTACCTTTGTATTCTAAAACTTCTAGACCAAACAGTAAATACAAATGTCACAAGCATACCCTATGCACAAAAATGAGAGAAGGATTAATTTAAA